CAACATATTCCTTCTCTCATCTTTTTATAAAACATAACACTCGGGCCACCAGATCCCAGGGGCTAGAAATACAGGTGTGTGCCACCATGCCCAGCTTCATGTTATGGTGAAGATCAAACCCAGGGATCCATGCACACATGGCAAGCACCACCCAAGGAGCTCTACCCCTCCATCCCAGCCATTTGTCCCTCTTTGAGACCAAGATGATAGCACTCCCCCTGTTGGCTGGACCAGGTAGGAGCACAGAATCTTCCAAGTCCAGGCCTAATTCCACAGGTGAGATTGTACTCAGTTTCTAGGGAAGGGTGCTTTCTGGATCTTCATAGCTACAGTTTACCACAGGAGAACAGTTTCCCACAGTTTTTACCTGTGTGTACACCAACGGGATACTGATCCAGTCGTAGGCATACAGCTGTCCACACTGAGTACGCAAGGTGCACACTTCCTGATGGGTGGGAAAGGAGGATGAGATGCTGACCCCCACCTGCTCCCCAGAACCCTCCCCAAAGCTCTTCCTCAGATAGAATGCAGTGGTACTAATGGAGCAGCTTTGGCTGTGTGGTCATATGCAGCTCCCTAGACTTCTCTGTGTCTCAGTGGCTTCATCTAGCAAAAAGAAGCCAGGACATCACAGGCTCACTCAGAGAGGAGACAGAAGGGATATTTGGAGAGGGGCCACCTTGGGCTGTGGAATCTTGTTGGAAATATCATACACTACCAGGACAGGCAGTGCGGGAAGACCCTCCAGCCTTCTCTTTAAGGGAAGTCACAATCCTTCCCACTGCATCCCATCTGTGGACTCACGTTCATTAGGCTCTGGAGCAGGACAGTGTCCCGGATTCGACCTCCAAGATAGGCCTTCATTGACAGATTGGCAAACCACACCCAGGGCACCCAGAATGTATTGTGTGGTAGACCCAACTTCTTCAACTTCTTATGTTCCCCAGGGGTCATAAAGCCTGCGGGGCAGAGAGGACAAGGCAACAAGTAACCCTAAAGAAGTGGCCTGCACCAGGAAACCCAGCCAGCCCAAGCCCCTAGGGCTCTTTTACTATTTTTGTTTCAACACACAAAATTACTGAGTCCCAGTTAAGTGCTCTTCTGAACTGCATGGGGCAGGAGGTGGGAGGATAGGGGGTTTTGTTAAAGCTAGAGTCAGGTCCTGGCCACATCAAGGGGAAGCTAAGGACCCATGTCAAGCCATCCAGTCAGGAAAACGAAGATCAGGACAGGCAGAAGGAAAGGAGGTAGAGCCATCAGTTCCCAAGCCTCCACTTCTTCCCTTATCCCTGAAGGGTTCTTAACCCTTTCTCAAATCCCTACCTTTTAATTTATTCTGGCTTTGCCTTACTTTGAGCAGCTGATTCTGGCCTGCCCAATTGTATCCCAAATCTGACCCCATAAGTCCCGCCCCCACCTCACCCTCCTCAAGCCCAGGGGACTCTGGCTCCATCCAGCGCTACGCCAGTCTCAGGCCCCGCCTCCGGTTAGCCTTAGCCCTGAGGCCCCGCCCACTCCACATACTGTCTACCTGCTAGCACCAGGTGCTGAAGACTGGGAAAGCGCTTGTAGACCGAGGTGCTGATGCTGCGCAGAATGAGCACTTGGCCCAGGATGGCGTAGCGGATGAGCGTGCGCCGCAGCATCCGGCCATGCTCGTCCTTGCCCTCCACGAAGCTAGACACCTGCATCATGAGGCGGTCGGGCCATGGCAAGCTCTCATACTGGTTCCACCAGCGGCTCACCACCAATGTAACATAGAAACCTGGGTAGGAAGGATGAGGTACAAGGGGGGAGAGGCCGGGCTGTGGCCAGAGACCAGTGCCCGGTGAACCCTCGGTTTCTCTGTCTTTCTGATATGTGTGGGCCAGCCTAGAAGGCCACTGGCCCACCTCACCCCACTCTCCGCCTCTGGTAGAGGTCCGCCCATTGTGTATCTAGAGCAAGGGGGTGGCCGCAAGGGGGATGCTCACCCAGAACGAAGGATATAGGGATGAGCTGAATGTAGCTGTTGCAGTACAGAGCCAGCTTCTCAAACAACAGCTGCTGATCATTCGAGAGAACCATTCTGGTGTGGGGGAGACATTGAGAGTAAGTGGCTAAGAGTGTGTCCCTGCTCCCGGCAGGGGAGGGTGAGGAGAGGGTGAGCTGGGCGTCTGGATGTTTACCCTTTCTACTCATCTGGCCCAGGGTCACTCTCTGGCTGAGGTGGGTTCTTGGAAGGGGTCACTTCTGGCATCGTGTGTGTGTGTGTGTGTGTGTGTGTGTGTGTGTGTTACTGGGAATGAAACCCAGCTCTTGCTCATGTTGGAAAAACACTTCACTACTGAGATCTATACCTAGTCCTTCACTTTTAAACAAGCCAAGGGAAAGTGGTTTGGAGCACTTGTTGCTCTTGCAGAAGACCCAGATTGAGTTCCCAACACCCACATGGCAGCTTAGAGCCATATATAAGTCCAGTTCCAGGGGGGTCTGATGCCCTCTTCTGGCCTCCTTGAGCAATACACACACACACACACACACACACACACACACACACAGAGCAATGCATACATACAGACAAAACACTCATTCATATAAAAAATAAATCTTAAAAAAATAAAAGCAGGTAGAAACAAAGAGCGTTTTGGTGGTTTGGTTTAGGTTTTTGAGACAGGATGTCCTGGAATTCACTTTGTAGACCAGACTGGCCTCAAACTCACAGGGGTCTACCTACTTCTGCCTCCTGAGTTCTGGGACTAAAGGGGTGCTCCACCAAACCTGGCTTAAGTGTTTGGTATTTTATATTTATTACATATAAATTATTACACATATATGTATGAGATAGATATAGATATATAGATACATTGATATACATGGTAGAGGGCTTGGTAGCGTAGTGGAACAGTGCTTGCCTAGCACATGTAAGTTCATAGGTTCAGTTTGTACACCACAGGTGGGAATGAATCTAGGCACAGTGTCTCTCTCTCTCTCACACACACAGAGGTAAGGGGGAGTGGGATGGCTAGGCTGAGCATGGTCTCTCTCTCTCTCTCTCTCTCTCTCTCACACACACACACACACACACACACACAGAAAGGGGGAGTGGGATGGCTAGGCTGAGCATCGAGTTTTAGGGCACTGCAGTGGCTCTTGATGGTATTCTAATAGTACTACATGTCATGTAAGATACTTCTGGGCAGACCTATTGGATGTAGGGCACCATGAATGAACCCTAGTGGCAACTATGACCTTCTAGTGACAATGGTGTGACAAGGCAAGCTCCCTGACTACAGCAGCAAACATGCCAGTGTGCATGTGTGGTTTGCTAAAGCAGAGGCTGGGATGGGCACAGATGAGAAATCTCTCTATAAGCTGCTTAATTTTGCTGCAAACAACATGCTCTTAAAAAATAACCTCTAGCCAGGCTTTAATCACAGAGGCAGAGGGGCAGAGGGGCAGAGGGGCAGAGGGGCAGAGGGGCAGAG